TGCATAAGACCAAAATAGAGCTTTGATTATGATGAAATTTCTGTACAGTAAAACTGAACCCAATGCAAGACTGTAGGAAGACCTAATTTCAGCAACTCACTGATTGTTAATCACTCTTTCAGCCAGAGTTTCTATGATAAATTTCAGGCCCTAGCTCATACAGCTCATTTTGGGTCTTTTAAAGAAGAGGTAGATGGAATAAACCTTAAAACTAGATAATAATAGGAAGCTAGTTTAAAAAACACCTCTTATTTTAATGTATAAATTAAACGTGGGGGTCATAACATTCTTCATAATGTTATCAGTTTACAATTACTTCACTCAAAGGAATATTTAGTCACGTTAAAACTAAGGAACATGTCCTACTATTCTGGGAGTTTTAGTGTCCCAACTATTTTACCCCATATCAGGAAATAAGAGGAAAAATGTTTTTTGGCATTTCAAGTGTGCACTGTATTCTAATCTGTTGCTTTTCAAACCATGTGTTACAACCATTAAACTGTTTCTGAAATCAATTTGTTGAATCAGTCACCATTACTAAAAAATGAAACAGTAGAACAGAAGGTAGAGTACATTATATTTACATGGTATTTTCTGAAATTTCTGTTGTGTGTATGCATGCAGACTGGTCAAATCTGTTCAATTCATCCTTCAAGCAATGTCAGGACCATTTTAAAGACTCATCTGAAAAGGTCATTATTGGCCACAAACTTTTCCCAGTTCCTATGACAAAAAGAATAAAGCCCAAACTCTTTCAATGTCATTCAAGATCCTTTACCCAGCTCCTCTCACACAGTCCTACTTAGCATTTCATAAAATGACATCACCATCTAGTTAGCTGCACAAATATAAAACCAGAGACGATGCCCCACACGCTTCCCAATTCACTCTATCAGTCTTATGTCTTTGTTCTCATCTAGTCTGACTTCATTCTTAGCTGCTCAATTCAGAGTAACCTTCCCTAATGCCCCAGTTGTTGATCCTTGTAAACGTGCTCTTTATCTGTCTCCCCACCAACATGTGCGCTCCATGAGGACAGAGACCTGGTCTTCCTCACTGTATCTCAGGGGCTGAGCATTCTTGGTAAGAGGCACCACTAGATTTACCAACCTTAAGAGTTCCTGAACTAAGCTTCTTACTTGCTCTTTTCTACCGTTTTGTCTCTGTATCTGCTATTTTCTCTGCCTGAAATGTACTATACCCATGTATTCTTTTGGGAGGCTTCTATCCATCCTTCAGGACTTCATCTTCTTTATGAAAAATTCCCTAATTGCTCTTGGGCTGAGTTCATGCTTGTTCTCAGTGGTGTAATAGTCATTTAAAATCTCAACATTGCACTCATTTTTCATTCCCTGCAAGACTGCGCTTTCTCAGGGCAAGTCTGCACTTACTCATGCTCATTGGCTCTTTGACTCCTAGCACATACTCGGTACATCTAGGTATTTAATAAATGTCTATTAAATGATTGAATAAACAAGTAGATGATGAAGAATATTTGTAGTGATGCTCCTAGATTTAAACACTAATAAAATTTTGGTTTATAAAAAGGGAAAGATTAGTGTGTATGTGAATTTTGTAGAACAGTGTGTTTTGTAGAAGAGGGTTGGGAATTATGAGGGGTGAAAATATAATTATTCTGTATAAAATACTTCTTACAGAATTGGTTCTTTTAAGGTTTTCATTAGTACATGTTTGCAGTACATGGTGATTGCATTCATTGTGGGGAGTTGGAACATCTTAATTCCTTTTTTTTTTTTTTTTGTGGCACTGGAGAGTGAACCTGTGCTATGCAAGCACTCTACCACTAAGGTGCACTTCTAGCCCTTTATTATTATGATTTTCGTTTTGAAGTAGGGTCTTGCTAAATTGTCTAGACTGGCTTTGAACTTATGATCCTCCCGAGCAGCTGGGATTGCAGGTATGTGCCACTGCCCAGACAACAGAACAGATTCTTTTACATGTCAAGTTCCCTCAGTGTGCATTTGGAGTTTTATGCAATTGACCAGGTTTCTTCTCCACATTGTTTTGCAGAGCAGAAGTGGTAGGTAAAGTAAGGGAACAGTCTTAAAGATGAAAAAGTTTACTTACCTTTGACTTCAGGGTATGACTTGACCCAGGCCAGAATAGTGGGGGTTTGCTCTGCTCTCTGTTGGACTGTTATGTTTGTGTCTAGATGTCCCCCAAAGTTCATGTGGTCATAGGTGGCGCTTTTCCAGAGGTGGCTGGATCTGGACTGTGTGATTCTGGGATTACTGATTGGTTCACTGAGTGGTTTGGCACCACCCTAATCCTGGTATCCTAGATAGAGTATAAATCGGCAGAAAGAAGCTGGTAAGGTCCCTCACTGGTTTTCCTACATTCTGCCTGCTGTGAATAGTTTCTCCTCTGTGATGCCCCTCTGACATGCCACCTGCCTTGGCAGCTGACTGTGAACTGAAACCTCTACAAACTGTTAGGCAAAGAAATCTTTCCTCCCTTAACTTTGGGCATCGAGTATTTTGTCTCAACAACGAGAAAAGAAACTAAGACAGACTCTGATGTCATTTTAGGAAATATGCTTAATAAAAAAGTGGGATGGAGGGAGGAGAAAAACTATCCTTAAAAATTGTATCTATTGTTCTCTGGATTTACTTCTTTTTCTTAATAGAGTCATTGCCTGCTTTTCACTATCTTAAGTAAAACTGGCAACTTGGAAAGAAGTCAAGTCATTTATAAGCAGATCTATTTGTCTCCCATTCTTTGTCCTTTATTAAAAGGACTCACTTGTTTTCAGATTTTAGGGAATTTAGAGAATTCCTTAAAATGGGGTGGGGAGGGACAAGCATGGAGATGAGATCTCTAAAACACTTACTACAAAGAATTATCCCTTAATTGTAGGAAAATTGCCTTTCTTCTTTCTTACCAGAGTAATGGAAAGTCCTTTCAGAGTATGCCTTTCTCCCAGTGGACCTAGGTTTGGGTTGTCTTGCATTATTTCTGGTGCTCAGGAAGGTCCCCAGCTCCACACTTCTTTCTTTGGGGTTAACAGATTGCTCCTTTCACATAAGCCCTGACTGGCTGAAGCAAATAAACTAGAGTCTGGCCATCTGTGGTTCTGTTCTGTGCCACGTTGAGTGCCCTAGTGATGGGCGTTTTGATAATGGAAAAGGTTAGTGCCTTGTGGAGACCCCAGGAGAGTAGAAAATGGAGGTCCCTCTGTGTGTGTGTGTAGGGGAGTCAGGACTCCAACTCAGAGTGGAAGGGGACGAACATGACCATTGGTGTTTGTCTTCTTCATTGTTGATCAGGGAGAAGGCTCCAGCAAGTTGCGGGAGGCAGAAGACAGAGGAACTTTCTTAAAAAGAAACAAAATAATGAAAAAGAAGCAGCAGTGCTTTTTATTCTGTAATTTAATTAAAAATCAGTTAGAAAAGACAGAAGAAAATCCAAGGATGCAAAACCACCTGAAAACTACTTTGAGCTAGACATCTTGCCTTACCGAGATGACTGAATCTTCTGACTCTGAAAGTTCCTGTTTACATAGGGCCAGAAGTGGGTCACCCTGCGTGGGTGGGACAGGGTCCCTGGGACATGCAGAGGGTCCTGGGCTTGCATAACTGTGGTGCTTGTCAAATGTGTCCCTCCAGGTTATAATAACTTGCTCCTAATCTCTTTATGGAGGATACTGCACTGCTTATTTCCAGTGCATTCTACTCAACTCTGGTAGTCTCAGAAGAAGCAACTAGAGGGCTCGATGTCACATTTTACCAAGGTTTCTAGCCATGCAGTAGAGACAGCAAATGTGCACTGAGTAACAGTCTTGCACCTTTGGACAAACTGTCTCATATTTGTTTTCTCATCTGACGAACATGCTAATTTTAGTTTCATCTTGTAGCACAGTTGTGAGAATTTAATGCCACCAGGCTTCAAGTATTGTTCTCAGAAGGAAGCACTAATGAAGTGTTAGCTATCATGACAATAACCATCACAAACAGACTGATGCCAGAGGCTTTGCCTCTGTTAATCTTGCTTAGCTATTAAAACAATTCTTTTTATGTACAGTGGACCCTTGAATTATGACTGGCCTGACATACGAACAGCTTGGGTTACAACTGGAATTTTATTTTTAATTTATGAACAAAGTCTTGAGTTACAACCCGAATGCTGGCCATTTGTACATCTAGATGGTCTCAGATACAGATTTAACCCTTAAAGAGTTCTAGAAGGAGCATTACAACATCCTTTCCTGTATGAGGTTGACTGAGAAATCTTGGGCCAATGTCTCTCTAAGGACACTGAGATCTGCCTGTACATAGAAGAGAGACTTTGAAGGCTGTGGAGAGGAGCCTGAGCCTTCATTGACCAGCTTGAGCTACAACCAGCCTTCGGGGATGAATTGAGTTCGTAAGTCAAGGGTCCACTGTATTTTCAGCCTGTGTTACAGCCAAAGCAGTTGAATCACAGAGGGGTTAACTAACTTGCCCAAGGTCATATAACTAGTAAGCTTCAGAACAAATGGGGTTTCAGACATAGGTTGATTGGGCCCTGAGGCTCCCAGGAGTCCTCATACCTCTGCCTTCCTGTGGGCGCCTCCTGACTGGATCTGGGTCCTCTCAAAGCTCCCTCTGTATTCCTATAGCTCTTCTAAAAGCCTTTACTGTGTTCCTATAGCAGCTTGCTGGGATTTTTCTGGTGAGTTTCCCCACATCCTGATTTTATTTTTTCTTTTCAGCAAACCTTCCCTGTTAATCCTTCCTTCAGTGTAGCCTTGTTAGCTTTCAGGGCACACCCTTGGCCAGGCCTGGGTGGACAGGGCTGCCTCTCCCCACCCCTTTCCTCTGCTTCAGTTTAAAGTTTCCAGGTGCCTCTAGTCCACTCCCTTTGCTTTTAGCCCTCGGAAGGGCAGGAAGGACCACAGCTAGAGCCAAAAACTATAGCCCTAGAGTGACAGAGAAGGTGTTAGGGGAGCAGTGAGACTCCCCTCCAGCCCCTTCTTCATAGGGACTGCGGGAAGCTAAAGGAAACCTGCCGAGAACATGAAGAATTGCTGGTAAGACTGCCATCAGACAGAGAAGCCCAGAGACTCGGGGGCTGGGAACCCTCAGGACCAAGGGTCTTGCGTTTTTACAGTGGAGGTAGAAAGAGGAGGGGAGAGCTGTGGGAGGGGGGTAAATCAGAGAAAGCATGAGAGACAGAGATGGGAAAAGAGAAGAGACAGAAAGAAAGAGGCAGAAAATCAAGGAGGAAACAAAGCAGAGACAGGGAAATGGGTACAGAAACAGTGAGATAGGGAGATACTGAGAAAGTGAGATCCATAATATAATAGGGGCAGTGGGAACCAGGGACTGGAATTTGTTAAGTCTCCGAGTAAGTAAGTAAGTAAGGCTTCAAAATCTGAATTTTAAAAATCTATATTGAATCTATATTCAATCTATATTGAAGTAAGGCTTCAAAATCTGAATTTTAAAAATCTATATTGGGATTTGGTCACCTACATTGTCAGGTTTACCAGATTTGAAAATATAAAAGTAGGTGCCACCTGGAGGGAATCCTGTGTGAGTCATTTCTCTTCTTTTTTCTTCAGGACGATTTCAGTTTTCTTCTTTGCGTGCAGTTTCCTTGGACCCTGGGCATCTGCAGCTGTCAAGCGTCGCCCAAGTAAGGGCCATGGTCGCTGGATTTTTAAATATCAGTTGTTCCCAGAAACAAATAGGGCTGAGACAGGCAGTGGTGTGGCTAGGAGAGGCACCACAGTCCTTTGCACCCTCACTCTTCAGCCTGCTTTGGGCTGCAGGCACAGTCTAGTGGTGGGTTTCTGTGCACTGTGCTGAGAGTGGAAAGCAAATGTGAGCATGGGTGGTGGGAAAGCCAGTCTGTGTGCTGCAGTGCCTAGCACAGAGTGCGGCTCCAATGGGGACTTGTAAATGTGGAGTAGATGCATGGATGGATGCATAGATGGAGGGGTAGATGGGTGGATTGACCCAGATAATCTGAGATCAGGGAGACATGGAGAAAATGGTTGATGTACTCCAAAGGCTAGGCCAAAGCTTCCTAATGGAGAAAATGCTTTTTCTGAAGTCTGGGAAGTCTCTGTCGTCAGGTAAGTCTGAACAAGGTGTAGGGTTGGAAAGTTACATGAAGTCTCCTATGGAGGTGAAAAAACTCCCTCACTACAGCTGACCACTTGTATAAGGAGCACCTACTCAGTTCTACAATTCCTCTTCAAAATGAGAATTGAATGCTTGTTATGATCATTTTTCTCTTGTTACTCTTCTTAAGTCTGTGGTACCAGCAGTAATCTACTTGTGACCTTTATTTGATCTCTTAGATTCATGAAATGAAATGCATCCTCTATATTTTACTTAGGATTTGTGAATCTCAAGACTCTCCCACTTCCTCCTATTTGACAAAGATACCTAAGAATTTCATTTTCCAGAAATCTCACTGAGCCGGCTTAAGACTGGCTCTGGACTTCTGTTGAAATTCTAAAATTTGTGGTGTTTAAGACATATTTTCTAACCCAAACCACCAGCCATTTTCCAAACAGGCTTCTGACCTCAAGTCCTTCAGGACATCATGCAGCTCTGGTTCCAAAAGGAACAAATTCCTAATCTTCCCCAAAAGGAATATTTTCTCAGTACAAATTATTAAAGCAAATTTGTGCCTTGCATCCCTTCCAGGGTAAGTTGAAGGTAAATGAATTATGATCGTTTATGGATAGAGTCAAAGACAAATACACTTCTTATAAGCAAGCTTACATAATTGTGTATTTAAAGCTTTATTATCACATAGTAATGTATAATACTGTATTTTAATAGTTGCTCAGTTACTATGATTATTAGCAACCCTTGTAGTGGATGAAGTAGGATGACATGATATCTCTTTCACAGGATTCCCTGTCAACTCAAATTCTAATGGTGGAAATGAACTCTGTCCCAAGGTCAGAATTGGCCAAGATGACTTGCCAGGCAAGTAACAATGTATCATATTGAAAATGCATGTTTTCCAAACCAATATCTCTCTTGTTTGGGAAGGTGTGGAAAGGAGTAAAACCAATCTCATTGTGGATTTTCCATTTTGTATTTCCTTTGTATAGGGTTTGACCTGATTTCTCAATTCCAGATAGATAAAGCAGCATCTAGAAGAGCTATCCAAAGAGTGGTGGGGTCAACTGCACTACAAGTGGCTTACAAGTTGGGAAACAATGTAGACTTCAGGATTCCAACCCGGTAATCTAGTACATAGATTTCATCTAATTATCTTTCTACAAAGAATATGAACAGTTATATGTGGTTAGAGAATTTCTCATACTTAATGTTTCTTGGATCGTGATGCTATTCAAAGATGAAAGGACTTATTCACATATCAACCAGTAGTTCCTGAATACAGCTCTGTATGCTTTCAGTATGTAATTTACTTTCCATTCTGGGAAGGGCAAAAATCACTGAGACTATTATAGATTGATTCAGGGAATGTTCTTATTACTCTGCTCTCTGTTTTAAGTAATTTGTCTGGTTTTGACTGAAAGGACCCTCTGTGAAAAGTGCCAGCGGTTCAGCATAAATTTAACTAGGAGCCGCCATGGTCAGAAGGCTCACAGTGGCGCTGTTCAAGGGTTCTGGTGCTGAAATAGAAACTGCACCAGTGCTTAGCTGCTGGCAGATAAAGACTAAAGATGTGAAACTAAACTTAGTATAACAGAAACAGTGGCAGTGATAATAAATCTTCCACTTAGTTGATCTTAGTTTTTTATTTTTTATTTTTTGGTACCGGGGATTGAACTTGGGACCTTGTGCTTGTGAGGCAGGCGGCGGAACCACTGAGCTAAATCTCCAGCCCCATTTGATCTTATTTTCTAGAGCTGAGCCCTTTAATCTTTAAATTATTCATAACGGAGGTATTTTAGTGAATGTGTATTGAGTTTTGCCACTGTTATTAGGAATGAACTTTTAGTAATTTAGTTTCTGTATCATTTACATACCTTATTTGTGATTATCATGATTATCATATGTTTTAGTGCATTGCAAAATATATAATTAAGATTTCTTTGGTAAGTGATCAGAAAATTAGGCTTTTGATGGACATTAAATTGTAAATGTAATAATGATTGATTGGAACAATAAAGAACAGTATAGAAACTCTAAGTTCTTATAAAATAAAAATTTTGGTTGTTATAAATCTGATATAGTGCTAGATTGCAAATAAAAATTCATATTTTGAGCATATTATACTTTATAACAACAATACTGTATAAACCTTCTTGTAAATTTACTAATTAATATGAAGCTCAACTTCTTCATAGTCCTGTGATGTGGGAACACTATTACTTAGTGGAGGAGAAAACTAAACCCTGAAAGTTTAATTTACTTTCCTAAGTTGGGAAGATTGAAACCTAGGCAGTGTGTTCTCAGAGGTTGTGTTTGTGACCACTGCTCCATCCTGAGCCTGGAAAGCCATGGATGTTTGGAAAGATTCACATTTGTACAGAATCTCAGATGGCTGGTGATGACACCTACCTTGGCCTTTGGTTTTTCTTATATGTTACTTTCATGTACAGAAGTGCTAGTTGTGTTCTTAATTTCAGAATTTTGTTTTCCTTTTCTTTAATAAAATAATGACATGACATATAAGAACCCAAATTGCTGATCTAATTTTCTGTGATTTGGGGCATAATCTAGACTGCCATGAACTGATGAACTTGAGGTGGTGTAGTCCCTGTACCTCCTGCTTATCTTCATTATCATCATTGTTTTCTCTAATGCCTACAGCCATCACTAAATAATAAACACAGGCCATAATTACCATCTCATATTTGCTATCTCCTTAACTTCTTCCCCCATAAAGACTAAAAACTCTTGATTTACCAGTAAGACATTAAAAATGAGGAAAGAAGAAATGAGAAGAAGGAAGTAGGAGAAAGAAGCAAGAAAGAGAGAGGAAGCAAGACAGAGGACAGAGTTATATGGAGCTCCAAAAATTGTAGTAAAATCTATATTTGGGCAGATTATTTAAGTTTTAGTTGTTTTGGTTTAAAATTAGAGAATCTCATAAGAACTATGTCATGAGATTGCTGTGTGGAGCAAATGTTAATAACTGGAGAGAGCTTGAACAGAGCCTGGCCCACGGTGGTGGTAGGTGTGTCGAGTGTTACTATTTATGGTGGAACTCGCCAGAAGGGCAGAGTATATGGAGATGAATATTTCCTTTTTGGTGGATCCTTTCTTGTTAAGTCTCTCCAAGTCCTACTTATTCAGAAGCAGGGTGACAAGGAATACAGAGGTTGCAGTTGTTCTCAAAGAGCAGACACTCATGGTTTAAACGGACCTTCTGTGCAAGAGTATCTAGATTCTGAGACAGTGAAGGCAAACTGTTAGGAGGATCTTTATGGGAAGAAAGAATGTTATGGTATAAGAATCTAATGTGATAGAGCAATAATTTATCTTTATCTTCTCAATTACTTTGAAAATTATTAGACACTTATCTTTTTGTTTGTTTGTTTGTTTTTAGAGGCAGGGTCTTGCTATATAGTTCAAGTTGACCTTGAATTCACTATGTAGCCCAGGCTGGCCTTGAACTCACAGCCATCCTCCTCCTCAGCCTCCCAAGTGCTGAGATTACAGGCATGTGCCACCATGTGCCACCACACCTGGCTTAAATACTTATCTTTTGCTGAACAAAATATTCTTTAGTCTAGACACTGTAGTTTCATATTCTTAACTTCTACTTGCAAACATGTTATGTTTGCATTAAAAACAGTCTTAGCTTTTCTTTGGGTTAAGGTCATAAACAAGTGTTTCAAGGTCCAAAGACTTTTCAATCTTTTATTCAAACCCTTATGTTTCTCCATTTGAGGCACCCCATGAAGATTACAATATAATGAAATAAATCATTTATAGAGATGTCTTTTAAATTATGTATGTTGTCAGGTTTACCTACCGGTGTGCATAGCATATTTGTAGGAACAGGATCTTGGGTGTTCAGAAAGGGCGGTAGGCTGACTGTCCTATAAATTAGATTTGTGAGACTTTTAAATGATTTTAGGTATGTACAAATTACATCTACATTTTACTAATATTAGCAGTAAAATGAATTTTCTCCTCTTACTGAATTGACATACTATTCTGATTTGAAAAATGATTAGCATGATAGTCTTAATTATATTTTGTACACGTATATGTTGTCTTCATATGCATAGAGGGAAATCTACAGAAACCCTTGATTTAATAACATATCTGTAGTTGAAGTATCATTTTAGCAATCCCAAATGCATCTATCTTTCTAATTTTAAGGTTACATACCCTAAGTCAGAGATGGTTGGAAACTTTCAACATAATCTCCCCACTCACTGAGCAGGAAAGATAGAAAGAAGCACAAATTGGGAAGGATCCCATAGTTAACCTCACCATTTCTTTGTGCAAGAGTCACCTGACCATGGGTCCATGACTTTTTGAATCAAAACAAAATAGATGTTTCTAATAGTATTTCTCACTATATCCATTGATAAATACATAGGTCATATGGATTTCCAGCACTGCAAGAAAAAAAAAATTTATCTTCCTTTTACAAATACCTCACACCTCAACAGTAACTACTTTGGACAAAAATAAAATCCTTAACCATCTAGTTAATCCTGATCATTAATTTGAATGATCAAAGAATATATTTATAAATGGTTACTTGGCAAATTGTGTCACTGGGTAAAACTTTACAAACTTATCTCCCAGCTTCAAAGTTATTGAGGATAGCTAAGTTAAACGTACAAATTTCCTCAAGGTTTTATAACTAAACAATAAGTAGTAGTACATTATATTGTCTTTAGTGAACCTTAGTTTCTTTTCTAGAGGTAACTCTAGAATTAGTATAATTCTGAAAGACATTGTCAAAGGAAATATGGAAAACCAATTGACAAACAAGAAATATACTAAAAACAAAGATCTGGAGTGAAGTGGTAGTTAGCTCCATTCTGGGAAAAGAGTACAAAATAGTTTTGTATAAGTTTTAACTTTTTAAACTCCAAACCAAATATTTTAAAATGTTTATGTTAAAACTTTCTCTACTCCTGACAAATACAAAAGATGTTTAATGAATGAAAAATTTTGCAGTAAGAATAATACACATCACAATGACCATATAGAAATGCGTATTAATAGAATTGCTCATCCAAGACCAGATTACTCATACTGGAAAATAATGTCTAAAAGGAGGCCTTGGATGATAAGGGTAGCCCGCTGAAAAGTTTTGCATTTTTAACTTGGACAAAACAATGATATTTTTGGAATAGCATACTTTATTAAAGGTTTGTAAAAACATTTGTGCAGTAGGCGGCGAAACCACTGAGCTAAATCTCTGGCCCTGTAAAAACATTTGCAGAAAACGGAGCTAGAAGTTTTTTATGCTATGGTAATAATATGATACACTTGTGCAGTTAAAGCCAAGGTAAAGAAAAAAAATCATAGCAAGCTAAGTAGTTTCATTTTTTGCTAAACATTCTTAGAACAAAGGAATTATCTGGTATAGAAATTATTGAACCTAACAATATGTTTTCATATAACTGGCAATGACATATACATCAATATAATAAGTGTGCATGTTAGTATTTTAGTTTGTAAAAAATGAAAACAGCATCCATCAAGATATTTCTTCTTGCCTTTTCTCTTCTTTGTTCTTCACAAGAAGGGGGCTACACAACAAGAGTTTGGCCCAAAGGAAGATTATTTGGAATTCTGGGTCTTAGCCCATAATTATATACAAAAATGTCAAATTTGATTATTTACAAACAAAATTCATTAGCATCTAGTTTTCCTAGCATTTCTTCCTTGCTTAGATTTTTTCTATGCTTAGAAGGAAGAAGGTAGACAGCTTCAAGTCCATGGAAGATGATTTTTACATCTAATATTCCTTGACTTTTAAAGTTCATTCTTCAGCCCTTCGTGGCTTGGCTTCAGCAGAAGATCCAGGTAGTGATCTTCAGATTATGGTCTCCATATAGATTGGAGATGCCTTAGGCACACTGCAGCTTTTGTGTCACTATTTAATGCAGGAAGGAAGTATAATGATAGTGTTAAGTAGTAGACTGAGAAACAAGTGGGTCGGAGTAGAGAAGTAAGAAGTGGCATCTCTCACTTGTCACACATCCAGTGATGAGAACCCAGACACTATTCAAACATCATACGCTGAACTCCCTGGAAAGACAGATTTCCTCAGTGTGTGAAAGTTTCTAAAGAAAATTTGCATGAATCTGTAAAATCTGATTCTGTAGGTGGTGATTCTCAAAATGCTTATGTGGGTCTTGAATATAACTGTGGAGGACAATATGCAAACAATTATGAAAATAACAAATAATACATTACATAGACATAAAAAATTAAAAGCCACTTTAATTAAAAGGTTTCATAAACCAGTAGTGGGTATCTGTAGTGGGTATCCAAATAATCTCCTCTCTCACTTGTGAAAGAAATGTTGCCAAGGACTTTGCAAGAATGTGTTTTTTGGCTGAGATGGTATTGCTGAAACAGTAGTAGCTCTTTGGGTACCATAAATAGTAATACTGTTGGGATTTTGTGGCATTGGAAACTTTCTTACCTCTGAAGGAAAGATTTTTAAAACTGTGCATTTTAACATGAAGCATTAATGTACATGAATGATTGAAGTTCTGTGAACAGTCATGAAAGAACAAATTCTGCAGTTTTTCATAGTGTATCCTTTCTGAATGTCTAGACTCTAAAATAGCATAAAAAGGAAAACGGTAAATATGCATGAGTACAGAAAACAAGATTTATATTTACTACTTTAAAATTTTACCCAGGCATTTATATCCCAGTGGGCTGCCTGAAGAATACTCCTTTTTAACTACTTTTCGGATGACTGGAAGTACACTTGAAAAGAACTGGAACATTTGGCAGATTCAGAATTCCTTGGGGAAGGAGCAAGTTGGTGTGAAGATTAATGGCCAAACCAAATCCATTGAATTTTCCTACAAAGGACTGGATGGAAGTCTCCAAACTGCAGCCTTCTCAAATTTGCCTTCCATGTTTGACTCCCAGTGGCATAAGCTCATGATCAGTGTGGAAAGGAGCAGCACCACTCTTTTCATTGACTGCAACAGGATTGAGTCCTTACCTATAAAGCCAAGAGGCCCAGTCGATGTCAATGGCTTTGCTGTACTGGGAAAGCTTGCAGATAATCCTCAAGTTTCTGTTCCAGTAAGTATGAAAAAGCACACATGATGGTAGATGAAAACAAAATCAGATTGCTAAAACTAGTACTTCAGATATCTTTGATAATCAGCTGAAACTCAGACAACAAAGTTATTCGTTTTTAAAAATTTACTCAATCACACATTCAGAAAGCCTTCCATGCCTGTTTTGAGCACAGCATGTGTTAAATGGAATGGAGAATCAGAGGCAGGTAAGCGGTTAGGTCCAGGTCTTGAGGAGTTTGAAGTCTACCTGCAGGTGTTACAGGCCCATCTGGAGCACTGGAATTCTTAAAAAGCAACTTAGAAAGAAACTCATATTAGTGATATCTATCTATCTATCTATCTATCTATCTATCTATCTATCTATCTATCATTTTATATAACTAATAAGAGTATTCAAAGTAAGGTTAATATGAATTGTCAATTCACTTGGTCAAGAATTCCACTGATTCTTGATTCAAAGAATCAATGAATTTTGAAGCAGAAGGATTTCAGTTAGCAAAAGAAGAAGAAAGTGCATTCCAGCTAAGGGAAGAAGCACTGAGGGAATAGATATACCACATTCAAAAGCGCAGCTACTAGGTGATGGGAGAGTGAATGTCATGCCAATGTGAGTGCGTGTGTGCGGAGGGACACTGACTGCAGAGAGTGGGAGATGAGGTTAGGAAGTCACACGGTGTTGGAGCAGCAAGAATCAGAATCCTGTAGACAGTATAACTTTCTGGAAATAGGTCTTGCATGATATATTATAGAAATAAATGATTTCAACATTCTGTTTATGGTTTTACTGTAGAGATCATAAATATAAAGTCAAGGGATTATGTAACGACATAACAGTTGTGATGACTTTTATCTTATAGTTCTATTATTTGGAACTGTTGTATTTCCACTTAATCTCTTGAGCAAATATTTTATAATACTACGACAGGAATTTAAAAATATATTCATAGAGGGCAAGTGTTCTTTTGGGGAAAAAGTAAGGAATTCAGAGCTCAATCTAAGTAACCATAGCTCTCTCTCTCTCTGTCTCTCATACATACTGGTACTGGGCTGTTAAATTCCAGTCACAAAACATGTCATGAAGAGTGGCAAAGATGATACAATAATTTTAAATTGTTTCTGTGCACTTAAAAAAAAGGTTATCGGGGATGTCAGTAATGGAATTGTTCAGATAACTTGTTTTCAAGGGAAGAACTGTGATTAGTGTGAAAGGTAGTGTGAAATTTCTATATCCTCTGATGGACAGAAAGCAATTTGTTACTGCCACCTTACTGTCCTGGCTTGTACACTCTTCAGGGAGTATTTCTTCATTTAATGACTTATCACACCTTAAGTGGCTGGGTGGGAAAGCCAATGGGACCACTGCTGTGCCATCTTGAAATTTTGTGCAGCGAGATCTTTGCAATGATGCTGGAGAGGTTTTCAGGGAACATTGGACTTCCATAATGTCTGTGTTATTTCTGGACCATGGGTGAGTGGAAAGAGACTTTAGACTACCTCCTCACTGTGAGGACTATAAATCAAGGATTTAAACTTTTTATTTATCAATTCATTGGCCTTAAAATATTTTATCTCTTTATAATTCGGAATTTTGGGTGCTAAGTTGCTACTAAGTTGCTTGATTGCTAGAGCAGTAACTAAAGTCTCCCTATTACTCATTATATCATAGTTTTGCCAATAGTGTCAGAACTGACTGTGGGTTTTCTGATGTGTCTAATACAACATCACAGTGGAGTCTGGTATGTACCTTTTATCTTCTCTTTTATTCTGTCATGGGAAAGAGTGCAGCTAACAACTTGGCAGGTGGCTTTAGGTATGTTTCTGGTCCGCCAAAGAGCTTGGCTAAGTCAGCATACTGTGGCCAATGTTAAAGGTATTTAAAATGGGCATATATAAATTTCTTCCTTCAGAATAAGGACTTCCTTCAGAACTCTTCCTCTAGCACACAAAAGATCCTTGAGTCTAGAGCCCAATTAAAGTTCTGTAGAGGAGGATGGTGGTGGTGATGGTGGTGGTAGTGACAATGGTAACTAAATTAGATTAAGATTATAGCCTCCCCAATTCTACCTCTACTCAAAGACCAAAAGTGATAATGTTAAACTTCTCACTAAAATGTATTTCTCAACCTGTACCCTGAAAGACAAAGAAGAAAATTATGTAAGAGAAGCTCATTTATGTTTCTGAAAATATCAACTTAGTACACCTAGTATATCAATCTGAAGTTTTCAAAATGCTTCCAATTCCATTAACTACTTGATCTTTGCAGCATTTTATACAATAGCACGTTTAGAAAAGGTTATGTCCATTTCTCAGCTAAAGAAGCTACCTCAAGTAGGTCTACTCTCTTGTAGGAGAGGGTGTTTGACATAAAATATTTAATCTACCTTATTTTATTTTATATGTTAGCCTTTCTTTTTGAAAAAGTAAAATACATGCAACCACTTAGCTTTCCTTCTAGAGCATGTCATCATTCTTATTTTGGAAGGCATTTGTAATTTGCATAGATGCTTCAGAATTTACTTTGCAGGACAAACAAAATAAAGTTTAAAAGGAAGGAATATTGTTTGATTTAAAACATGTCCTTAGGCATCAACCCTATTTGTTTCTTATTTTAAACTTTCATTGAGTGCCTGTACACTGGGTGTACAAAGTCAAATAAATTGCAGATTTTGTCTTCTCTACTCTAGAGGATGAAGACCTGAGGTAAGTAAACAATCACAACATAACGTGATGAGGACCACAATAGTGAAGTACAGCATGGGAGCGCATTGAAAAAGCTCCTCCCTCAGGTGAGACTCTGGCCATGTGGGGGTCAAGGATGCATCCTAAAGGAGATGATGTCTGAGAGGAATCCTGGGCTTGAATAAGAGTTATCCAGGAGCAGATAAGGTCCAGAAATCCAGGTAGATGGACTCTCCTTTGGAAATTCTTATGTGTATCAATTCTTCTCTTTGCAAGTTTTATTAGTCTTCCCACATTGCTCCCACATTTTAAAACCAAAAGGTAAACAAGTACAAGCCCACAGGCAAATCACAAGTGGTGATGAATTGTCCCTGGCCTTCATTTTTATTTTATGGCCTCTCATCTTGAACTTCTCAGCAGTTTGGCTAAAATTCAGAGTTGCCGGTAATACTGAAAATAGACAAGGACTGCCTGTCCCTCTGGGGTCTTAGAGGACAACGGGTGGTGACAGACACATACTCTGAGAGGTAGAACTGTACTCATAGGTCACCCTCTTCTCAATTTGGGGGCAGCAAATGTTCAAACTACTGTAGAAACTTCTGAATTAAAATGAAATAACATGAAATAGCATGAAAACAGCACGGAACAGTGTATTTTTCAATATTTCTTTATGCAGTTGGATTGATTCTTATCTTCAACACTCCACATTACTTGGCTACTTTTTCCTGAGCCAATGTTCACTTTTAAAAGTAAATAAATAAAAATGTCCCCTTCATAGATATTATCAGAAGTCGAAGGTAGCCCTAAAGATTGCATAGTAAAAATGCAATTGAAAACAACATTTGATAGATTACTAATGCTAAAAGACTCACTTATATTGTACTTGTTTGTGATTTTCCTCTGCTCATCCAATCTTTTGTCCCTTTCTTTCCTCTAAATTGGAAAAGGAAGCCAATTTCAAGATATTTTCATAGGGCTTGTCATAGAGCTGCTCATGTGATATACAGCTCACACACCTTCTCATCATTCATAGTTATTAAGTGGGCTTAAAGCCTTCTATATTTTTTTCCCAATGTACTCCTGTAAGTTTGTTAGTTTGGATTTTAAAGCAATAAATCCCTTATTTCCTGTTCTTTTTTGTGCCCATAATTTAAGATGGTGTCATTTATCCCACTGCAAAGCTGGGTTTCCTGGCAGCATACCATAAAAACATGTTATTTTATGACAGGTTCTTTATTGTTTGTTGCCATTATGGTTGCCTAGGAGAGTTATTGGGTACAGCTCTATTAGAAAACAAAGTTAGCTTCTCTCCCTTTTCAGGGATTTACACAGGGAGTTGGGGCTTGTTTCAGGGAGGATAAAAGTTTATGTGGCTTTATAAATATATGATGCAAACCATTTTTCTTTTTACCTATGCATAGTTCAAGTGAATCAACATAGAACATGTTGGATTTAATGCTTTTAAAAGTATATTTAAAATGTGTTGTTCTGTTTATTTCCATTAGATTCAGAGGGAAAAATGTAAAAGCTGATAAGACTGTAGAAGGAAAAGCTCTCTGTTCTTTTCCGTGCTCCACAGAATTTAATGATACTAGCCTTGAAAGGTAAAAACAGTGAAAGTTCCATACATGATAACATGAGAAAATAAATTTTGAGGTTGTGATTAATATTACTTCTGGGTTTTGAGAAATACTCTAGAAAATTTATATTTTTAGTGATTTGAGGAATGCATAATATATACTATAAATATCTAATGTAAGTTTGCTTATT